GGATTCGAACCCACATTTATGTGTTTAAGGCACATTGCTCTACCATTTGAGCTAATAGGCTAAAAATTGTTATTTAAAATATTTAAAAGCAATGAGAAACTCTATAAGAAAGACCAATAAAAGAATTGTACTCCATGACAGTTCCTGGTCCATATTTGTGATAACATTTCCATCCACCTGCACTCTTGAATAGACAACATTTGCAGAAGGCAAAAGTTGCTCCATGAATGAGGGGTAACAAGTTGCCTATCAATGAGAAAGGTGCATAATTAAAAAGAAAACTCCCCTGAATATACATTTAATGCCTTGTGATAAGATTATATGGTTTGGGTTCTATCACATTAAAACTCAAATCATTTGAGTTTGACAAAGAGATCAAGTACTCATCCCAATCGTTTATAACCAGTATTTTGAAAAGAAAAAAATAGGCCAAATTAGTACTCAGGAAGTCCAAATAATGAGATCCAGTGACTTGAGATTACTACCTTAAGGCCCTTCAACAGTCCCCACGATCCAAGTGCACTACTGGAGAGGCAACAATTGCAGAATATAACCGTTTGCTTTTTGCATGTTTTCTGAATATGATTTCCAAAGTTTTGCAGTCTCTAAGGGTAGCCAGAAATTTTCCTTAAGGTTTGGAACTTAACCATTTCACAAGGATAAATTCATTTTGAAATGTAGTTACATACCAAGTATTACAATAGTGCACTTAAAAAAACTGCAATTTCTCTCCCGTTTAACAAATCCAAACAAATAATGCACTTAAAAAACACTGTAGTTGGTCACCCGTTTGTTGGTTCAAGTACACAGCTCACGTTTGAGTTCATTGTAACTCTTTTCTTACAAATGACAATAACAATTACATGACTTTGACAAGCTAGGAATCTGTATCTCTTTCAGCTGCTACAATAAACTATATTATTATAGTTAAAGTTAAGACAATTTGTCCATGTGTTTAGTTTGAGAGATTTCAATGCAGGAACAAAAATCAATTTACCCAGTTTCAATTCGAAGATAACCAGACATAAAAAAAAATTTACATTCAAACATAACCAACAATCATTCGAACTTTGACAAATACTTGATATTTGTCGGGGTTAACTTTTTGATATCAAAGCACCAATACACCCTCATGGAAATGAAATAAAAAAAAAATCTATTAACATAAGAAACTGAAAACTGAAAAAAAAAATTAATTTTCAGAAATGGGGCAAACCTCAAGAGGAGAAACTTTGACACCCATGGAACCAACAATCTCCCTGCAACCGAAGGCCTGGAGCAGCACTCGACCTAAAGCAGCAGTACACCTTGAGAAAGACCAATCGAGGCAATACTCACTGATCGAAAGGAGCATCACTCGACGGAGACCATATATTGACGACCGATGATGGACGGATAAGGCGGCGGGTGCGGAGAGAAGAAGACATAGGTCAGAAGCAGGGCTTGTGGCTTTTCTGGAAGAAGAGGCGGGATAGGGAAAACAAAGGGTTGTGAGCCTCAGACTTAGTCGTTCGGTGTTGGACGAGTAAATTAAGATCTAATAGATCGGACGGTTGATATTAATTGTTCTCATTTTAAGTGAGTTCTCATTTTAAGGGAGGTTCTCGTTAGAACCCTCCCCATATATATATATATATATATATATATATATATATATATATATATATGGATTTTCTAAGGATAATAGCTTAAACTTTTTAAATAATACCACCTATCACATATATACTATTTGAATCACTTTCACTAATACCATCAATTCGAATACATAACAAAACGTGATACGAGCCACTTTCCGACTACAAATCTAGCAATGTTGCTCATAGAAAACCTACAGTTGTTTGCTATAAGGATTTGATGGGTTAAAATTGGTTTTGAAATCAGAAAGTGTCTTCTTCATTCTTGTTATGTATTCAAATAGTTGGTATCATTTCAAATTAAATTCCCTTATCTAAACAGATTCATGATGCAGGTTTAGAGGTATAAAGAATATACAAATAACAGAATACTTCTATCTTTTATACACCAACATTCAACCTTAGTCCCAACAACAACAATGCTACTTTCTCTTACTGCGAAAGAATCACCTTCACACTGATAATATTTTTCATTCACACTGACATGACAAACCTTTGTCTGTTTGAACAAATAAATCATGTCTGTGTGCAGGTTGTACAAAAATGGTTGTGCATGCAACATAACTCTAAACTTAATGCCTACGACCATCAACTAATTGGAATTAAGGTGAATTAAGGTGATGATAAGTGATGATGAGATGTAGTATAAAACTGTACCTGGCTCCAAGCACATTCAACTCATACGAAATGTAAGGACCTGTTTACTAACAGAAATATTTTCTGTTTTTTTTTTTCAAAAAATTGGAAAACTGAAGATAGAAAAACTAGAAAACATGTTTACCTAATCATTTTTCAAAAAACGAAAAGCGAAACATATCTCGCCTTTTACCAGTGAAATGGAAAACCGACTTGTATACGTTTTCACAATTTAGAAAACACGGGGCTACAGTATCTCTTTTACTCGCTCGTCTTCTTCCCCTTCCTTCTCTAATTTATCGCCTTAATTGCGCCTACCTTCTCCGCCTACCTTCCTTAAGCTTCTTCCGCCTACCTTCTCCGCCTATCCTCTTTACATCTCCGCCAAACCGCTGCAATTTGAAGAACGTCTGTCCACTTCCGTAGGTATTAAAGGCGCTGCAAAGTTTCGCCAAACACACCCCTTCTCCATTACGCTACAGGTCCTAGGTTGACTGAAGACCATCTTCCTTCTTCACATGTCAACCACGATCCAGCTTCTCTAGTTAGGGAATCGCTGCTAGGAGCTGGACCCCAACGTCACGGAGTCTCCCAAATCTTCGGTTGGCTCGTGTTCTATCAACGAATTGAAGGTAAGGTCTCTAATAAAATGGAATTTTCAGTTTATGATGTTTAAAATTCGAATGTGATTGGAATCAGAAGAGCAATTGGGCTTCTTTATTTTTCTGCATCTTCTTCAAGGCCAATTCAGCTTTGTTTTTTAAATATCCGGCAATTTTTGAGAAGGTTTGGATAGCGAAGGATGGAGTAACTTTTTAATGGAGTGCATATATTAAACTATTGGTTGTCATTGAATGGTTTTAGATGAGACTAGAGATGAATTGTTTTTTCTCAGTTGTTAACATGCTTATATTGGTTAATATGAATTTCTGAAGAGCGAAATGGGAAAGTAAAAACAATTTATTCAGCTGAACTCTCTGCTCCATACTCTTCACCTTAGCTTATTATCCACATCCAAGCTTGTTATCCATGATAGTTATATAATTCGATAGTCAGTAATAAGCTTATTTAATTTGTAATAAGATGATTAGACCAAACACATTACACATATAGGTAAAACAACTTTAAAGTCTAAGAAAAGAATGTAACCACGTACAGAGCATACATCTTCATTGTATGTGAATTAGGGAATAGGATGTATGTATGTATATTTCATATTATCCATGATATTTAACTTACGTTGGTAATGTTGAGTTGATGTTTGGTTCCCATAAGTCTAAACTTAGTTTGTGGCTGAATGGCTTATAGTTATTTCTATCATTTCTCTCATTTTCAACTATAGATCCCTGGACCTAAAAATGTGAATTTGTAGCAGAACATAAAGTCAGAACTACAAAGTTGTGAATTTGTAGCCCGTTTGATCATAATCTTGTTCACAATATTTATTGAATAAATTGGTTTTGCTGATATGTGTTTAAAATATCTAAAAGGGTTGAATTATCTTAAATATAAATAAGATATGCTATTAAATAAATTAGGTATGTGTAAGATAAATAAGGTCTGTTATGTTTACACTGTTTTTTCATTGCTTAAAAAGTCGGTTTTCATTGCTTAAGAATTCTTTTTTCATTGCATAAGAAGTCTGTTTTTTCATTCCTTTAAGAGTTTTTTTTTGGGCTGCTCTAGTGTGGCTATCTTCCTTGTTTCTGGGTTAAGTTGAGATGCAGTTTAGTTGTGACAGCCCTACATACAAAAATAGCAGAATCTTGGCATGCCTTATTGGTAGTACAAACTTAGTGGACAGTAGGTCTTGTGGCTTCCTTGATTTCTTTTAGTAGTACCATTGCAACGGATATATTTACCTTTTGGCGGGAAGGTTTTTGGTAGGACTCCGTTTTCGATTATTACCCCAAAGAAGACTTGGGAGGGAGCTCTAACATGTCTTGCTGGTTCCATAACCACTACTGCACTATTGTCAAAGTTGCTATGCTGGCCTACATCTATACTGAGTGCATTGGCTTTTGGGGTTGTGAACTTTTTTGGATCATTTTTTGGTGACCTTACGGAGTCAATGATCAAACGTGATGCGGGTGCGAAAGTCTCGAGACGCCTTATCCCTGTACATGGTGGAATACAAGACTCGAGATCCCTCATCCCTGGACATGGTGGAAAGCTATATAGTCACAGGAGGCCTAATTTATTCTTTCATTCAAATATGTTTGCCACTCTATTTAGTTAATGAGATGAGAAATTAATGCCTGCCCCAACGGTTTTAGAGACGTACACTTTCAGAATGTTAGAACATTGTAATGTCACTTATTGAATTTTCAGTGTTGGGGAACATTTATGTTAATTTTTTGTGTTATTTGTAATGTGCATTTCTTTTCCAAATATTAAATCAATGTTTTCTGAAAAAAAAAAGGAAATGAAAAATTGAATAAATCTGGTAAACATGTTTTCTGGCTTGGAAAACAAAAAACTGAAAAACAAAAACAGAAAACTGAAGACCTGAAAACAGAGAACGAAAACAGAAAAATATTTCTGTTAGTAAACAGGCCCTAAGCTTCTTCATGGTTTTCTACATGTATGAGGTACCCTAGACGCAACTTGCTTCATGGCCACAAGCAAACGTGGTTACTTCATGGCTGCTTCATGGCTACTTCATGTGTTCAACCCTCAACGGCTCAAAGCAAACAGTTTTCAGAAACCAAACCAAAAGGCAAAATGGTGCTCAGAGAGTGACACTTTTACTTATTATTCGGTAATCAAGAATGACCAAAACTATATTCCCGTCTGATTAGTGAAGAATCAACTAATCTGCTCTACGGCTGTTGTCAAGGTCTTTGACAAATTCATTTTCACTTGGTTCTTGAGAAGTTACATCAGTTTCATATTGCTTAAATAAATCAATACAAGAAGGATCATAAGCACTGACTATGTGCAAATACTTGGCAGCTTCAGCTTTCCGGCCCACAATGTATAAGGCACTTGAGAATAATACCAATGCGTCATAGTAATGTGATTTTGTCCTTGGATCCTCTGGCTCCTTCATCAGAGCTACTTTCTCGAGGTGTGCAATGCCCTCTTCATACTTCCCCTCGCATATACAAGTCACACCTGCCCATTGGGATGATAGGATCAAATGATCGACATCTTCAACTTCTGCAGGGTGCCTATTTATGAGCAGTTCAGAAATACAACTCTTCAAGATTTCAGTGGCTTTTGATGAGAAACCATTTTGCAATTGTCCATGCATCAAAGCTCTGGCATAATCAGGATCCTTGGCAAGAGCAAGGCGCATCAGTTGAAGAGCCACATCTTTTTTACCTTCAGCGAAGAGTGAGGTTGCAATATTAACAAGCTCTTTGGCCGACAGATTTTGAGCAGGTATCTCCTGTGGAGAATCTACATTGCGCATGCACAATATGCATTGTAAAACCAAATGAGCCAAATAAGCATTCTTTAGATACAAAATGAGTTTTATTATATTCAATTGAGCATTTCATATAATGAAGATGAAAAGAACAAAATATAAACACAAAGAAATAAGCATTAACCTCTATAAGCCAAATGAACAGAACAAAAAAACATGGACACTAAGAAATGATCATTCTATATATGCAATAGACGCTGTTATTAAAAAATGACAAAATACCTGGATGTGAAATTACATCTGGATTTATGACATAATTTTCCATCTCTTGTGATTCATTTGAAGTATTCATCACCTCTTCCTTTGAGCAGTCTACGTTGTTTTGTTTTGCCAAGGCAGCAACCTCCTTATCTGGTAGTCCTAATTTCTTACGAACCACAGGATGCCTAAGAGAAATTTGTTGAAGGAGACTTGATATACTATTGAAAAGCCAGTACACTAAACTCCCCTGGGGCAAATTGAATGAAATGAACAGTATTGGGAGGGACAGAATCTCCAAGTATTGCTTGTAGTACTTGGCTAACAAAGCAAAAGGGCCACTGGTTTTCATAAGTGATGAACTCTGAAAGGAAACCTGAACATTAGTGAAATGCAGTCCAGCAATCAGTAAGGGTAATATGGGGCCCAAAGTGCCATTTGGCACTTCAGTCAAATTCTGAAACCACAGAGTTCCTCCAACATCAAATCCATCATGATGCTCGAGTGACATTCTTCTTATAGTTGTAATCCATAGGAAAAAGCAGGGAACTTGTATAGAAAATGACGAGATGAACCATAAAAGTGAGGGGCAACCTGCTGCTCGCTTCTCTTTGAAGAAAAGTTTGAATTGGTCTGTGAATGTCCTTCGTGACTTACGTGGTGGGAAAGGAGGAGGCAGCTTAGGTAGTAGCTCACTGATCCTCGCCAACTTGCGGAGTTGCAATACTACAAGTGGAAATAGCAAAAGCCTCATTGCCAATGTTCCAGAAGCAATAACAAACCACCAAGGCAATCCCGTGAAGACGTGGTAGCCATCTAGCAATGAAGACAGAGCCGAAACCGGAAGAATCGATTCTACCACTTCCCCGTCACAGGCTACGTCGCCTGGAAGAATCAGGTCAGCCGGAGAAGCAGGTTCAGTGTGGTTAAATTCTCCATCTTGAAGTGTATATCCTTCGATAGAACTGGATTTATGAGTGGAGAAAGAACGGGAGAATGAATGAACACCCAAAGGAACTAGAAATTGCTTTGATCCAGAAAACAAAGACAGCGCAGATGGGGGCCGTACCAATGGAAGGAGAATATGGTGCTTCCACCGCTGGCAGTCATCGGAACCGTGCAACTGTTCGAAGGAGTAGGAAGCTGATAAGGAAGGATAGTGGCGGAGAAGCTTTCGGTTTAAGATCTTAGACAGTGCCATATCTAGCTGTAACAAGGTTTTTGTTTAAATTGGTAGTTCCCTTCACCAAATAAGGAGTGTAATTTGATTTTTTTCTTATGACTAGCTACAAACTTTATTGATAAGGGAAGGGCTCTGATATGCTCTCTCACTTTAACCCATCCGGCCATCCCCGTTAACTAAAAAGGGATTCGTCTTCTTTAGCAGCATAGGGTGCATGACTTTTTTAAATGTCTGATCTAAAAATCAACAGTCTGAGATCTTGGAGTACACCTTTTTCACGTATCACATCTTCCTTGCCATCCTACTGTTGATTGCTGCAAGGCACTTTGCCATACGGACGATATCCGAATCCCTACAAAAGTAGAAAAACTCTCATGGAAACCTATTTTGAGTTACAGGTTTTAACTCAAGATAAAACTTTGGGTAGTTACACTTTTGGTACTTGACTTTGAATTTTTCCAACTTGTAGTCCTTCGAATACGGATCAAAAGACACTTTTATTACCCGTCTTTGATATTTTCCATATTTAGTCTTTTGACTTTCATAAAAGTGACAAATTTCGTCCTTCAACTATTATAATAGTAACATTTTTAGTCCTCCGTTTATTGTCACAAAATCATAGTGGGAAGACTAAATGTGTCAATTTGATAATACTCAGGGGACTAAATGTGGAGAACTTTGAAGCCAGGGACTAAAAGTGTCTCTCGCACAATAGTGAAAGAACTAAAAATGGAAAAAATTAAAAGTTGTGTACTAAAAGTGTCACTGGTACCATAGTTGGAACCGAAAGTGGGAAAAACTTTTGTAAACTTTAAAAGTGTAATTTAAAACTATTAAACCCAAACTTTAATAGTTTTAAATTTTGCAAACTGCTGTATTAAACATGCATATGCAGTTGTTTGGTACTCAGTTTATAACACAAAAAGTAATAGTATAGTTAGTACTTAGTAGAATCTGATAATCAGATTTGGTAATCCAAATATATACTAGTGTGCCCCAACCATGACAAGTTTGACAAATACGTGTTGATAAGATTCACATACAGAAAAAACAGCACATGTACCCACAACCAACAACTTGCCTCACCACTTTGACTAAAAGTGAAGTTATAAAAAACTGCAGAAAACTAAGTCCACCAAAATAGTCACTGAGACACACAACCACTTGGAGAAGTTATCAAATCCAATGCAAGTCTGAAACAGAAACCGAAGTCTTATACCAATCCATATGAAGCAAAGTAGTTTGATAACCGTGATATTAATTAGTTAGATAACCAGTATAATACACTCACACTTAACTGAATAACAATCATATACTAACAAAAACAGAGCAGATAATGCAGGGTTTCATGTCCAACAAGTTGTGGTATTCTTCTTTACATCTGTAGTAAAATAAATTTTGTGAGTATGTAAGTATACGTATTCAATAAAATTGAAGGCACTGAGATTTTGCTATGTCTTGTTACTGTTGTATGTATATATATTGCAAATAGCTTTACAGGGTGGAACAAAAATTAGATATTCTCTCTTTTTTGTAATCAATGAATGGGCAAGGGGGAATAAGCCAAATTACATGGACGAAAAAAGTTCAGAAACCTCTAGTTTAGCTTGGAACTTGGAAGGGTATCCAGATAAACTTTATTTCATATGCAACAAATAGCAGGGCATCTTTGTTAATTACCTGCATTTCCAGATTCCCAATTCCTAACCAGAAATTTAGAAGGGATAAAGCAAGAGTAAATGCCTACACTATTCATATTAGTCAAATAATCAATAAAAGAAAACGTATAAATTGTAAAATAAATAAAATGGCCGCAGGATGGGAGATCTCCAGGTGGGGAGGAATACCTGAAGGCTTGGCGAGGACTGAGAAGCCGATTTCTGAGGAGGGCCAGAAGCCGAGAAGGGGCAGGGCGGCCAAGCGTCGGCGGTAGCAGGTAGGCGGTCCGCGTCAGCGATTCGGCGTTACTAATTGCTCCTTCCTGAGTTCCGTCGATCGGTAGACGTCAAAGCGTCAAACAGTCGAAGCCCTGGAATGAGTCCCAGGTTGTGTGTCTGTGTATCAGTAGACAGTTTACAGGTGGCCTAGCTCAAGAGTTAGGTCTAGGTTCGAATCCCGGCAACTACGACGAGGGGTTACTATGCTGAAAAATGCATAGGGTCTCTGTAAGTACCGGGGACAGAGCCTCACTCTCTATCTGTCAGATTGTGATTATAGTCCAATTTACCTCCTTCCACCGTCCGGTCGGTGTTGGGGCCCTCAGGGATGGGGTGTCATCCCTTTTTGGAAGAAGGAAGTCTCCGTGTAAGGGGGTGTTTGGATCCTATAAAATTGCTTTGAAACTGATTGTGCTTAAATAAAAGCAGTTTTTGGGAAAAGGTGGTTAGTAGTAAAAGTTGGTAGTGTTTGGTAAAATAAGTGCTTTTTGGGTAATAGAAAAAATAAAAAGTTGATTCTACACGGAAGCCGAGAAAGTAAAAGTTGGTAGTGTTTGGTAAAATAAGTGTTTTTTCCTTAAAAAAAACGCAATCACTTAAATTAAGTGATTGCAAACAAAGTCTTATGCTCCTTCAAGGAGCAGAAGCAGAAGCAGAAGCTGAAGTGTTTGGATGAAAGTGCAGAAGTGATTCTGGCGCTTTAATTTACTCCTAGAATCAGTTTTTTAAGAAGCTGGGGGTGACCAGCATCTGAAAACTGATTTTGATTTTACTTTTGCTTTAAAAAAGAAGAAGAATCAAAATCAGTTCCAAACACCCCCTAACTTACTAGCTTTTCCGCATGTTGGGCCATTTAGGCCGGATGGGCAGAACAAAAATAATACGGAATAATATAGGCTGACAATCATGTTACTGACTTAATCGGCGAAGAGATTAATAAACTAAAAATTGTATGATTAAGATTTGTGCAGAGGAAAGCGAATTAATTGACAAATTCTTTACTGAAAAGAGAAATTAAAAAAGTTAACGGAACGAGCAAAAAAAGAAGAGTTTTTTACACATATATTACCTAAATTAATTGGGTTTACAAATATATGACCATGACCATTTAATACACATGAAGATCGTAACTGAACAAAGCAAATGACTTGATTACCCAAAACGGTTAAGATTTATATTGGGATGGAAAGTTTGGATTTCGAGAGAAAATCAATTACGTGATTGGGGAGGAGATGGGAGTAGGTCACTAAGGATCCATTCATTAGAAACGTAAAGAAGCAGAATATGACTACTCATTTATAGATTTTGTATCTTAGTTACGTTCCGTTGTTTTAATTTTCTCGTTACCGTGCTTGAAGATGAACATGTACTGAAAGATATCGAAACCAAATATAGAGTGTGATTATTTAGGGTGATAAATTTATGATTAACATGATTGTGATGATTTTAGTTTTGTGAAGGTAAATAAAGATTTCTAACCCAGTAGTTAGTAGAGAAAAGGGGCAAATAAGGTCACGTACTAACCAAAAAGGGTCAAATAAGGTCGGACAGAGCCTCATAAATAATGCCTTATTTGACCTTTTTTTTTGTTAGTACGTGACCTTACTTGCCCCTTTTCCCGTAGTTAGTATAGATTCACGGAGTAATGTCGGCGACCTAATTCTGATGTTCATGGAAATTTAATACTCCATAGTAACTAATTTATGGACTTGGAATGGTGTGATGAATTTTTAGTAACTTAAAGAGACGGAATTGTGATGCTTCTAGGAGTATGATAATTACTTTAAAGATAGGAATAAAGTAATGGAGATATAGAATAAAGTACCGAATTTTTAGTAACTATGGCCAAACTAGTGATCTAGGTTCTGGAGTAGTAACTTTTGATTTGATTTGGGTCGGAAGACCGTAGTAAGCTAGTTGTCGTATATAGTAATGATCAGTGATGGACCCGGGCCGGCTCGGGTCAATGGTCGTCGGGATTTGTTGTTGTTGTAGAAAGCGGTTATTATGTCGGGCCAATTCTTGTTGTAGTTGTTCTTCAGACATCGCATCTCCATCTCGCCTTTGGTAACCCGTTTAAAAATCATCTCGGCTTTGAGATGAAGAGCCGGCAAGTTCTTTACCATTGCGGGATTTCTTCCTCCCAATCTCGTTCCTTCGATTGCGTTGGAGGTTACCCAAATCAACCGAATATCTACCAGCTTCCATCTTAAAAATGTAACAAATATTAATTGGCAACAAATATAATAATGAATACAAAACTAATGCAACTAATTAAAATTATTTTAATAAATACTTCAAACTAATTTAATGTTAAGTACTTTAATTAAATGATTGAACTACTATTTTTTCGTTCAAATATAAATTGAAAATATTATAATGTGACTTTAACTATAATGACAATTAACTAGTTTTTTGAAGTAGAGTTGTTTTAGCAATTAATGGGAATACTAATGAACTAATTAACTAGTATAATGAAAAATGTAACAAGAATGCTAATGAACTAATTAACTAGTATAATGAAAAATGTAACAAGAATACTAATTAACTAATTAACTAGTATAATGAAAAATGTAACAAGAATGCTAATGAACTAATTAACTACTATAATGAAAAATGTAACAAGAATGCTAATGAACTAATTAATTAGTATAATGAAAAATGTAACAAGAATGCTAATGAACTAATTAACTAGTATTATGAAAAATGTAACAAGAATACTAATTAACTAATTAACTAGTATAATGAAAAATGTAACAAGAATGCTAATGAACTAATTAACTAGTATAATGAAAAATGTAACAAGAATACTAATTAACTTATTAACTAGTATAATGAAAAATGTAACAACAATACTAATTAACTAATTAACTAGTATAATGAGAAATGTAACAAGAATGCTAATGAACTAATTAACTAGTATAATGAAAAATGTAACAAGAATACTAATTAACTAATTAACTAGTATAATGAAAAATGTAACAAGAATACTAATTAACTAATTAACTAGTATATAATGAAAAATGTAACAAGAAAACTAATTAACTAATTAACTAGTATAATACTAGTTATAGTAACTAATATATAATATAATGTTTATAGTATATAATATATAAGTATACTACTATAAGATGAGTAATACACTTATATTTCATCTCAAAGTGGAGGTTGATGCTCAATTAAAATGTCATGATGTTCAACTAACAAACCTCACGATTTTCATATCAATGTGCACTTTGTAAGTTATGTGTGCTCATTCGGTAGTGGTGTTATGTTCATTTTTAAAATATTACTCCGTATCTCAATACATATTTCAATAGTATCATATTACATTAGACTAGCATATTGAAATAAATAGGAGTGGATTATAGATATAATTTAATAGTTTTTATAAAAGAAAAAATATCAAAAAGAAAAAGAATTAGAAGATACGAAGCATACATCACGATACTCAATATCAGACTCTTAATACTCAACATAATTGGTCTGATGCTCAGTAAATGTTCATCAATGCTCGTGATGTTTAATTAACACAATTTTCATATTAATGCACATTGTATAAGTTACACCACTTACATGTGCTCATTTGGTACTGATTTTATGCTCATATGTAAAATGCCATATCAATGCGTATTTAAAAAGTGACATATTACATTAAATTCACATATTGAAACTCATAGGAGTTATTTATAGATATAATTTAATAAGTTTTTATAAAAGAAAAAATAAGACAAAGAAAGTGACTTAGATGTATGAAGCAAAGATTGTAGTACTCATTGTTTGGCTTTTAATACTCAATAGAATAGGTCAGATGCTCACTAAATGTACATTGATGCTCATTTAGCGGAAGCCGCGATTTTTTGCCTGACACCGAAAAAAATTAGACTGTTTTAGTTAAATGATCTGTACAATTCAGTACAGTCTGCCAGCCGGAACCGGCGAAGATCGAGATGGAGGATGAAGAAGAGTGTGAGGCGGCGGAAACCCAGGAATTTGAGGACGGAGGGCTACGGCGGAAGACGGCGGCGTCGAAGAAGAAGGGCAAGAAAAGCAGTTGTAAGAGGTTCAGCAATTAGCAAGTGAAATCGCTGGAAACCATTTTCAGGCTAGAAACAAAGTTGGAGATGAAGAAGCTGCAAGTTGCCAGAGATTTGAGGCTGCAACCACGTCAAGTGACGATATGGTTTCAGAACAAAAGGGCGAGGTGGAAATCCAAGCAAGTTGAGCACGATTTCAGGCTCCTCAAAGCCAAATTCGATTAACTCCTCAAAGCCAAATTCCATTAAGTTTGATGTTCTTAAGGAAGAAAATGAGATCAGTCTTTCAATTCTTAAGCGGTTAGACAACATTGGGCCTTTTCTTATGGTCTTAATAATTTAATTGGACTCTTATCTTTTATTTTTGAAAATGAGTCTTGTCTTTTTAATTGGACTAAATGTACCTACACCTAATGTATAGTATAGGAGCTCCACGTGTGCCTGTTGCCGTTTCTTTCCCTTCATCATCGACTTTATTGCGTTTTCTGTGCCCGAAACTAACGAATGGTGTCTTCGGACGGTGGAGATTACCGTTCGAACGCGAAGAAGGAGAAACAGAAGAAACTGAAGAAGCTAAAAGATCTAGAGAGGGAAAAGTCACATCGAAAAAGATCGAAGAAACATGGGTATGTGGCTAGCTAGGGATTTCATTTCAATTAAACGCAATACGATACTTGTTTTGTCCTTTTTTGCTTTTCATCTATCCGCAACTTCAATGGAGTCTAGATATATATGGTGTGGGAACCGATTTGTGTTTATTAATACCTTTTACTCAGTTAATTTTGTCGATATATGTATGCATTTGGATAATCTTGCTTACCTGCCTCTGATTATATCTCTAATGCATTTGGATATTTCTTTATTGCATTAAATTTAACGTTGCCTCCTGGCTGGGTACTGATTTCGACAGACTTATACATAGATCGGGTGGGAAGGCACCTCCTGTCCAGCTATCTTACACGCATAGTGTGGTGCTCGATGAATGGTCCAGTCTTCGAGCAGCACAGACTGCCTTATCGGATTTCAACGAGAGAAGGCAATTTGATGAACAGGTTAATTAGTTAGTCCAAATTGATTATTATCATCAATCAACCAAAAGGAGTAGTTTAAGATCTTATACTTTCGCA